AAACTACAGAAAGAAATTGAATTCCCTAAATATAGCAATGCCCTAATAAGTTATGTTCTATCTATACCATGGGATATTGTGCATTTATTTAAGAGAATGAATTAGTTGATATTGTAGATGAGATGGTGAGATTCTTATAAAATATTATTGAATGAGAAAAGGAAGATTGTATAAAAAATATTTCCACTCCTCCCACTTTTTAAAAATAAATCAATAACAAACACACATTTCATATGTTATATACATATATATGAATGTAGGCCAAAGCTGAAAAGGTACATTCTAGGTTGTTAATGAGTTACTTTGCAAGGAGTAACAATGAGCTACTTTGCAAGGAGTGGGAAAGTTGATGTGGGTGAAGGAGAGAAATGCCCAAGACGTGTAAAAGAAGTTAAGAAAAAGGTGTACCAAGGTCAAGGTTTGATTCCCGGTCAGGGTACATGCTGGGGTTGCTGACTCAATTCCCAGTGAGGGGGATGTAAGAGGCAGCCAATAAATGATTCCCTCTCATCATTGATGCTTCTATCTCTCCCTCTCCCTTCCTCTCTAAAAAAGAAAAATTTAAAAAAAAATATGCATATAACTGTATTTATGCTATCATTTCTAAACCTAATAAGAAAGACAGAATCAGGGGCTAACACAGTTTGCAGGAAAGAAAAATGACAAAAAATATGTCAAGAAATGGAAATAACTATACATAATTTTACTGGATATACAATTTTTAAGTTTTTATTTGTTTAGTAAATGTTTGTTATATAAATCAAACAGTATTTCTATTTTTAGTTTTTTGAGGAAACTCCATACTGTTCTCCACAGTGGCTGCACCAGTCTGCAGTCCCACTAGCAGTGCACGAAAGTTCCTTTTTCTCCGCATCGTTGACAGCACTTGTCATTTGTTGATTTGTTGATGATAGCCATTCTGACAGGTGTGAGATGGTACCGCATTGCCGTTTTGATTTGCATCTCTCAGATGATTAATGACTTTGAGCATCTATAATAATAAAAGCTTAATATGCTAATTAGACTGGACGTCCTCCCAGACAATGCTGGGGCTGCGAGGGAAGCCCAGGACCCAGGTGCCAGAGGGAAGCCGGTGCCGGCAGCTGGGGGAAGGCCTACTCTTGCACGAATTTTGTGTATCATGCCTCTAGTGTTTTCATATGTCTCTTGGCTTTCTGAATGTCCTCTTTCGGAAAGTGTCTGTTTAGGTCCATTGCCCATTTTTTGATTGGATTATTTATCTTCCTTTTGTTAAGTTGTATGAGTTCTCTGTAAATATTGGAGATTAAACCCTAATCAGAGATAACATTAGCAAATACGTTCTCCCATGCAGTGGGCTTTCTTATTGTTTTGTTGATGGTTTCTTTTGCTGTGCAGAAGCTTTTTATTTTGATGAAGTCCCATTTGTTTATTTTCTCCTTAGTTTCCATTCCCCCAGGAGCTGTATCGGTATGCAAATATTTATTAAGCATCTATTTTGTGCCACGCTTGGTTCTGGGAGCTGCAGATATAACAACAAAATAGTCTTTATGCACATAGAGATTGCATTCTCCATTTCAATGGGGCAAATGGATATCATCTAGTTGGAACAAAATCTAGAGCCCAGAAATAAAACCACATGTATATGGACAAATATACATGGGGCAAAGATAGGAGGTCAGCAAGACAATACAAAAGTATGTAAACATGCCACAGATAGGACAGTTTATTCAAGTGATAAAATTCTATTAGAAAATAAAACAACAAAATGCATAACATGGTATAAGTGTGGCTGAAACCGGTTTGGCTCAGTGGATAGAGTGTTGGTCTGTGGACTGAAAGGTCCTGGGTTCGATTCCAGTCAAGGGCATGTACATTGGTTGCAGGCACATCCCTGGTAGGGGGTATATAGGAGGCAGCTGGTCGATGTTTCTCTCTCATCGATGTTTCTAGCTTTCTATTCTTCTCCCTTCCTCTCTGTAAAAAAATCAATAAAATATGTTAAAAAAACAAAAAACAAAAAACCCCCCAAAAAAACATGGTATAAGTGTGGGGTTGAAAGGGCAAGCTGAGATTTGTGGTCAGAGAAGACCCCTCTATGGTGGTGACATTTGAATTGCTAAGTCATTACTCTTACTCACCTCCTTTCTCCACCCCCAACTTCCAATTTGTTGGGAGGAGGCATTTCGGATGATAGTAATTTGGAAAGGGCTTGTTAATGGAGGGGTAGGAATGTGTCCACGGCTGCTGACTTAGCCAAACCTTTCTCTCAATCTGGGGAGTGTAGCCATAGAGTAGAATCTGTCCCTGAGTAGAAGCAGTTTCAATGGAGGTTTTAAAAAAACTGCAAACATGAATACCAGGAGAAGTTTTCTGAGCTTATGCTAGATCAGGGTCCAACTGTCCGAGAAAAAACAGAATGAATTAGACTAGCAGTTCCAAACGGTGGTCCGCGGACCACTGGTGGTCCGTGAGGTCTGAAAGGAAACCTATGGAGAAGTGGTCGCCAACAGGTGGTCCCTGGACCACTGGTGGTCCATGAGGTCTGAAAGGTTGGCGACCTCTGAATTAGACAACAGCCTTTATGAATAGACACTCAGAGTGGGCTATGTGTGTGTGAGTGTGTGCATGTTTACCATCACATGGGGGTGAGAGAGTAGGCTGCTAAGGGTGGGAAGAGATAAGAGAGGTGTCCAAATGGATATCATCTAGTTGGAACAAAATCTAGAGCCCAGAAATAAAACCACATGTATATGGACAAATAATTTTTGGCAGAGGAGCCAAAAATATACACTGGAGAAAACAAAGCCTCTTCAATAAATGGTGAGTGCTGTAATAAGCCAGAAATAAACCACAGTGCTAGTTGAATATCAAAGAAAAATGATAATCTAAAATGTTATATTTGTCAAGGATAGTAAGTGAAAGTACTTCCTACAAAGATAGATGAAAATTCCCTGAACTGATGGAGGTGAAGGGCACATACGGTTGTTTGAAGTTTGCAAGGCCTTTCACTTCCTTCCTGTACTGTGGGTTATAAAGGCAGATAGCAGAAGAGGAAACTTTAATTGAGTTTCCCCAATCTTTTACTGATCATAAAGAAAAAAAGCATTTGCCATTATGAATGCAGTTCTCAGAATCTCACTAGAGGGCAGTGTTGGTTTTAAAACCACAGGTTGCTAGTCTACAGTACACTCATTACTGGGCTCCATTAGTATATACAATGAAAAGGTAAACTCAAGCTTTCTCAGGCTTACCTAAAAGTCGGTAAATATCAACTCCCAAGGGCCTCATCCAGGTCTGGCTGGTTGCAGCCCAGAGGAGCCAGATAAAGTAGTGAAGAGATCCCTGGAGGAGTTGAATGGCAGATTCTAATTTCAGATCCTGCACTAACTAGTAGACAAGAAAATAAGCCTCCTTAGGCCTTCATCTCATCTGCAAAAGAAAAAAAGGGCTGACCTATATGGCCCTTAAATCTCCTTGTATTTATATAACTCTGAGATTTTAAGTTCTGGGTCTAAAAGGCTGAAGAATTTCTCCTGTTCTTGGCCAAAGGAACAAGTAACTTCTTACAGTATTAAATTAATAATTAAAATATAATTTAATGTTATAAGAAATTTAATATAGTTTCCAATATTAAACAGCCTTTAAATCAAAAGGTCAACTCTTCTGTCCTACCAGGGAAATTTCAGAGCCATCCTCTGCATCTATGTGAGCATGTTGTGGTTAATTTCAGTAACTTAATGCATCATCTAAAGACATCTCTTCTTTTGGAAATGAGCAAAATATGTTTACACAGGATGGTCTAGAGAAAGGTGGTTGAACCATTATGAAAGAGGGATGTTTCATGATAAGAGAATAAGTCCCTCACCTCACCTTGTAGTTAGCCAACATTCACCATTATTGTGCTTTGTTAAAGGTCACTCTCCACAGGGATTTAATTCGTTCACTTTCCTATTACCCTCACCTCTTTTATCTGATGCGCTTCCCTTGTCATATTTATTCGCATTGCAGAGTGAACGGAAAATCTCTTTATAAAATCTTAAGCAAATTCTTCAACTCTAGGGCCCCAGTAAACCGTAGTTTTGACTCTGTATGGACTTGACTTCTAAGGGGTGACTGAGAGCCAAGGAACCGCTGATGGTGGAAGCTACACTCCATTACCCCAGACGTTTTGACATTAATACGCACCGTTCCCTTCCCTCCAAACTGCTTTGCTTTGCAGAGGGAATGTTTCTTCCCCTAGCCCCCTCCCTTTGCTATCCCGCATTTGTTTGATTTTCGGGCTTTTTTCGAATATCCAAACTTCCTGAAATGTACACGGCACGCCGACGGGTGCTCATACACGCTCGCATCCTAGCTGGGGCACCCGCGCCCCCCGGGCGGCTGGTCTCGGAGCGCATTCCATTCTTAGCGCCCGGGCCCGCCCCTCCGCTGCGGGGATTGGTCGGTCCAGCCCGCTCGCCCAGGCGCGGCTCCTGAGAGGCCCAGAAGCCTGTCAATCGCACCGCTGTCAAAACAAGGCTTCCCTCCCTGTCACCACAGAGCGGAGCGGAGCAGAGGCCGCCGCCGCCGCCGGTGCCGAGGTAGCCGCGCCGCTGGCTGCGGGCAGGTGACGGGGGCGCGGGGCCGCGGTCTCCCGGCTCCGGCCCCTCTTCGACCGCGTGCGCTCCTGCCCCGGGGGCCGCCCCGCCGGACGCCGGTGCCTTTTGTCTGGCGCGGAGCGGGCGTTCGCATCGCACTCCGGACACCTCCCTGTCCTCTCGCCTCTGCCTTCGCCTCTCCTCCTCCCTCCGCTCGCCCCGCTCCCCGCCCGCCGTCCCAGCGGACCGCCGGCCGCCAGGACCGAAGCTCGGACGTCTCTGCCGGCGATGCCTCCGCTCCAGAAAGTTGCAGCCGCGGCCGCCGGGCGCTGAGACAAAGTCCGGCGGGGCCGCCTCCTGGCGCCGGAGCGCAGCGCGCCCAGCGGCCGGACCAGCTGCGGGCGAGCGAGCCGGCTCCCCGCGGAGCCCGGGCGCCCCGACATGGCCGAGGGCGCGGCCGAGTGGGAGGGTCCCGCGCAGCCCGACGCGGCCGGCGGCGAAGACGACCCCCGGGCGGGCCCGGAAGGCGCCCCCGCGGACGGCGGGGCGGCGGCGCCTGCGGGCCGGTGGCGGGACCGGCGCAGCGGGGTGGTGCTGCCGGGCGCCGCCGGGACCCCCGCGGACGGCGAGGCGGGCCTCCTGGAGGCGGCGCGGGCGACCCCCCGGCGCAGCAGCATCATCAAGGTGAGCGAGGCGGCACGGCCGCCGGGCGGGAGGGTGTGCATGGAGGTGCGTGGTCCGCAGGGTGCTCGGCATTGTTTGCTCCCACCCCCTTCCTTTAAAAAACCTCCCGCCTCGCCCCTGGGGAGGTCCCCAGACTCGGCTCTGGGCGGTGAGAAGCAGAAGTGACTTTTCCCCGACAGCGGAGGAAAAGTTCCCCTCTGCGGCGTTGCGTTTCGATGGACCTTTCCCTCCTTCTCTCCGAAAGCGGCACCGAACCGTGGATAGAAGGCGAAGGGGGAATTCAATAGACATGCAGACCCGCGGGGTTGCGCGCTGCTCTCCAGCAAAAGCCCCCTTCCAGCCCTCCCCACCCCCCCTCCCCACACACACACATTAAAGGTTTACCCTCCAGTGAACAGAAAAACCCGCTAGATTCACACGGTCCCCAAATCCCAAGAAGCGGGAGTGTTCCTGGTGGCAGGCAGAGTTTTCAGTGGACCTTTGGGCAAAGCACAGAGCGATGGCGGGGCCCGAGTTTCTGCGCCGGGAGAGCGCGAGCGGAGAGCAGCCCCTCTCTCCGCATCCGGGGCCGTGGCCGCCACCGCATCCAGGGAGAATGCTTCTCTTCATCCATCTGGCACGATTTCTATAAGCCTCGTCCCGCCCTGTCTCTCTGTCTTCCTTCCACCTGGGGCTTGTTTCCTGTCTGAGATTTCATCTTTTGGATGCAGGACATCTGGGCAAGATCTCCTAGAAGTCTGAACTCTCCCACGGGCTCTGGGAGAGGGCCTCTTAGCATCAGTGCCTAGGAGCAGGCATGTACATGTGAGAATGAAGTCTATTTTGGTAGGGCAGTCAGTATGAAACGGTATAGTTGGGCGTGTGTGTGTGTGTGTGTATGCCAAGGATGACAGTGTAAGACAGACTCTTCAAGGTACATGGTGTGATGATACATTTACAAGCCTTGTTTAGGTTTGAGCTGTGGAACCACCACATGATGCGTGTCTCTTTCTAAAGCTCTGAATCGGAGCTCCCAGCATCAGTGTGGGCAGACTGCACCCACAGTACATGCACCCAGCTCCAAGTACGGTCTAGGCTTTCCCCCAACACTGACACATGGGCGTTTAAAACCAACAGGGAGATTTCTATAATAAAAGAAGAGCCGGTGGTAGTTGCAAATAACTTGTAGTAGTTTTCTCTTATTTTGTGACTTCTGGCTTGCAAAATCAGTGTTCTTTTCTGGGTGTGAATTTGGATTGAAGGGATATAATTACTTTCCCCCCTTTTAATCCACAGATCAGAAAGCATATTGTTTTGAAGTTTAAAATACATAACAATTAGGAAACATACATTTTCCCTTGTTTTTGAAAAATATTTTTTCATTGAGGTGTAATTGATACACAACATTATATTAGTTTCAGATGTACAGTGTGATTTGATATTTGTATACGAAATGATTACTGTTAGTCTAGTTAAACTTTGTCACCACACATAGTTACAAAATTTTCTTTTTTGTGATGAGAACTTTTAAGACTTATACTCTTAGCAATTTTCAAATATGCAATATAGTATTATTAACTGTAGTCACCATGTTGTACATTAATCCCCATGATTTATTTATTTTATAATTGGGAGTTGTTTTTTTTTTTAAAAAAGTATATTTTATTGATTTTTGTACAGAGAGGAAGGGAGAGAGATAGAGTTAAGAAACATCGATGAGAGTCATCGATCAGCTGCCTCTTGCACACCCCCTACTGGGGACATGCCCGCAACCAAGGTACATGCCCTTGACCAGAATCGAACCCGGGTCCCTTCAGTCCCCAAGCCGATGCTCTATCCACTGAGCCAAACCAGTTTCAGCTATAGTTGGGAGTTTGTACCTTTTGACCTCCTTCATCCATGATGCCCACTTCTCCACCCTACCAGTCTGTTCTCTGTATCTTTTTTTTCTTTTCCTTTTAGATTTCACATAAAAGTGAGATCATATAGTATTTGAGGAAACACAGTTTGGATTTTAAGGTAATAATACTAAATGTGGTTCTGTGTATAAAAACAAGTACCACAAGATAGTTTAAAATATACCATCATAAAAAGCAGTGGGCTCAATAATGTTGTAAAAAAATAAATAAAAGGAATGGAATATAAGAAATATACAAATCCTTGTACTTTAATTGCATTTTCTAAATTGTACCATGTGTTGGTAATGGTGCCTTTTGGGTTTTGAAGTTTCTTTTGCAGACAAGAAAAGAGGGAGGCAATTTGATCTTTTCTCTATTTAATAGTAAAATCAACATCTAATAAATGGCCTTTAGGAATAAAGATGCTAGAAAATGAAGTGAATTACTATTATTTAAAATTAGGTTTTATTGAAAAAGTGATATATATATCGATATATATAAAGTAAAATGAAATGTTGCAAAAAGTATGAAGGAAAAATTCTCAGCCACTCCACACTCTCACTTACATAGTCTACCCCCAACGCTGTTAACACTTTCTTCTGTATTCTTCCAGAAATATTCCATGCGTGTATAAGCACATGTATCTGTACATATCTGTGGTGAACCATAGGAGCTTCCCTTTTATATAATAACAATTGATTAGAATTTTCCAGACCTTATATCTTCAGATTTGCTCTAAACATTTTTGGTGGCTGGAAGGTTGTCTGAGGTCGTTGAGATTGGTCAGTTAATTGCCAAGTATAACCTGGCAGGTCATAGGTGGTGGTACCGGGGCTGTTCCCAGAGGCCTTCATTTCCGTCCAGCGGGGAGAGAGCTCTGTTTCCCTCCGTTATGATATCAGGGACCTTTCTGTTGACATGAATCTGCTGCCCCCTGGTTTGTTTACTTAAAGTAGTAAAACTGGAAGTTTCTTAAAAAGGTCTAGATCATATCAGAAATATAGAGCACGTGTTCTGTGTAGACAGCAAATGCACTCTTCGTAGTATTGCCAAGAGTGCTTTTTATTCAGCTATGAAACATTCACAAAGAGAAAGAATTTTGCTCATTTTATATTAATCATTCTATTAAATATTGTTCCAAATAGCCTTAGTGCAGTAATGATTAGTATTCATGATAATCCTTGAGCCACTGAAAGATTGTGAATCATCGAATATTAAATTCTTTTCAGCTCAAACAAGGCATTGTTTCTATTCTAATTGATTGAATGCAAATTCTCTTGTAACTTGAATGTTAAATGAATCAGAATAGTGCATTTCTCTATCATACCAGAAAACAATGTCTTGTATATTAATAAGAGGAATGTTTTTAGCCAATTTGCCCTCTCTAATTTATGAAAACATGTGGTTAGTTGAGAAAACAATTTCCTTTATAGCTGATGAAACAAAACATAATTTATCTTTAAACATTTTCTTTTTACTATAATTGTGTTCCTTCACTTATATGCGTAGTCCTAAATTAAAAGATTTTTTTAACAGAATTCAACAAGATTCTCTTTAAGTTTTCCATTTCCCCTATGTTATTTCTTTAAAAAATCCTCACCTGAGAATATTTTTCTATTGATTTTTAGAGAATGTGAAAGGAAGGGAATGGGGGCAGGGTTTGGGGGTGGGGCAGAAAGGGTGAGACCCAGGCCAGGATGGAGTCTGCAACCGAAGTACATGCCCTTGGCCAGGAATTGAATCTGAGACCCTTGCCGATGCTCTGATCACTTGTATCTCATGGACATAGGCGTGTGGGATGAAGCTTCTGGAGCTGGGAATGAGGTGCTCAGATCTGCGCTGAAGCAGCTAAAATAATGGCTCCAATGTTGTTCATGTCTCATTATTTCATATCACGGCCAGACTCATTTTGTCATGCTCATTGTGGGGCTGGTGTGGTGGGTTTCTGAGCTGCGATGTGCCTTGGTTACCTGTTGACCCATAGCAAAATTATGGCTCTCCCCAAAGGGCAAGGGGAGTTTTAGTCATTCTTATTAAGTGCTGCCTACCATGAGTCTTAAACTAGAAGCTTTTATACATTAGGTCACTTTATTTTCACAGTGAATCTCTCACTCAGCAAAGGGCGCAGAGAACTGCAGATTCATACACGTGTCTGCTTACCTAGAGAACTTGAGCTCTTATGCTGATTCCCCACAATCCATGACTCCTCCTAGGTTAGAAACAACATGACCATATAAGAGAGTGGCAGAGGTGTCTGAATCTGGGTCCCAAATTTTGTTGGGTAAGTTCTTCTTTGCCCATCCCCCTCCCCAAATCAGAACCCACAGAGATGGATGACACCAGAAAGGGATTGCAGATTTTCCGGTCTTTGGTCATTTTGTTCAGCCTGCACTGTATTCTAAAAGCAGAGCCCTTGGCAGGAGTTCTACTTGTTGCCAACATGTGGTGTGCATGCCTGTTGTTTTACATCAGGCCCATTCTCCTGTGCTTCTGCAGACAGTTGAGGCTGGGTAGGGATGTGTTGTTTTTAAGGCTGATATACAGGGGAACAAATACTGGATGTAGAACATGTATTACTCTATGGAGTGATGAAATAGGGAATCTTAAATTGGAACTATGAAAGCATTTTTTAATAAGAAACATTTATGAAGGGAAGTTAAGTAAGAATGAAAAGGGATGTAAACATTTTAGACACCTTATCTGTTACATAGATTTTTCTGGGATGAATCAGCATTTATAGGCTTTTCTTGTAGAAATATGTATTAAAAGTTCCAGATAACTTATGGGTGAATTCTGGGGACACAATCTGACTGTACAATGGGGCGGGTAGCCTTGGCTCTAGGGGGTACCATGAGCATGTCCTGTGGCTTCCATCAGGGTGTGCTCCTCTGAGGTGTGAGTCAGCTGTATAATAGCATTGAACTTCTTGGGGTGGATCTGTTTTATAATCCCAGTAACTTCAGTCAGAGTGTCGACCTCCTCTGAAGTTGCCATAGTCACGTGGTCACATTTCACCTTAGAAATGGTCACTTCTTCCTGTGGTGCCTCGTTGATGTCATTCCTCACAGCCCCTCTCACGAGAATTATGAATGGAATTCATACAAACAGCCTTGCCATATTTTG